TTGTGCAACAGCAATCGATACATGTTGTATAAGTAATGGTCGAAGCACGAAACTCACCGGGATCTTGCTGCTTTTGAGGAAGTCCAACAACGCCTCAAGGGCACCCAAGGTTGAGGCTTGCACGTAAACACCGCGTTCTGCGAGTCGAATGTTTCCAAGGGCACTAGTCAACTCTTTCGCAATTTCTTCCTTTAAGACATCTACTTCGTCTGGTTTTTGGGCCACTTGAAGATTCAATCCTACTCGAACGATATTAAATCGTAATTTATTTCGTACTATTACTATAAACGGTGTCTGATGTATACTAATCTTTACCTGCAATAGCTTTTTCCAAATCTTTTGCAGCAATTTTTATTCCTTGCGCGGCTTGCACTTCACGGTATTCGATATACGCGTTCTGCAATTACCACGATAAAGGATAGACGAATTAGATATTTCGATTTTAAGCACAGAAAAATAAAAAATTCTTCGATCCCCTTACTTTCACTCTCAATTCCTTCAACGGTTGTGGCATAAGTAACGAACGTATCTGAGTCACTATAGGACCATCGGTACCCGCTACTATCATTGTATCACCTTCTCTCAACATACCATTGACTAGAATACAATCTATTGTAGTTCCGAGACCTGGTAATGCTTTCACTTCTAAAACGGTGGCTTGAAGCTCTTCGCTGTACATGAGTTTTCTAGCTAGAGGACCTTGACAGGCATCGACTATTAATGACAGCAGGTTACCCATACCCTCACCTTTCAACAAATGATTTATTTCGTATTATTTTTAAATCATACGTACGTATTATCCAGAAAATTAATAAATATATTTATTTACCTGTAATTGCACTAGTTGGTACAAGAGAAACGTAACTCCTACGGTCTGGATTTTCGTAAAACAACGCGGCGTTCAGGCCTTGTATAGCGAATTGAACGATAACATCCTTCGAACGTTTCTCAAACTCTCGCTGTGTATTCATAGCTTGGCCTTTTATAATGTCCTGGATATCTTTTCGATTCATAGTTTGCCAATCGTATAATCTATACGAATTATATTATTTTTATTTCGCTGGTATTTTTGCTAGTTACGTAATTGTGTATGGGTTCGTTTTAAATACTGTACCTGTCAATTTTGTTTAAAGCTACGATAAAAGGACATTTCTTTGTTTTCAGCAAGTTAATACTTTCGATAGTTTGTGGTTCTAAACCGTGCATAATGTCTACTACTAATATCGCTATATCACAAAGAGAGGATCCTCGGTTTCTTAAATTACTGAAGGATTCGTGACCAGGTGTGTCTATGATTAAGAGTCCAGGAATTTTGAAATTTTTCTCAGAAAACTGAAAGAAATTGTTTTTTTTTTTTTTCATTTCATCGAAATATTTGAAATAAATAACACACGAAGAAATTAATCAAAGATAACTTACTCCTTTCACGTGTTTCGTTGATTCTTTAATGGCATCGATAGGCACATTTGTAGCGCCAATCTGTTGAGTTATACCCCCTGCTTCAGCATCCTGTACATTCGTTCTTCTCAATTTGTCGAGGATTTTCGTTTTTCCTGTATCGACGTGACCTAAAACACACACTACGGCAGCTCTAAGTTCGTCCAATGATCTTTTCTTTTCCGCTTCTATCCTTCGAAGTTGTATTCGTTCCCTAACTCGTTCCTTCTTTCTCGCTGCATCTGATACTTTATCTTCTAATCCACTATCCTCTTCGCTTTCCTCTGTATCCGATTCGCTACCACTCTCACTGTCCGATTCACTTTCCGAAGATTCTTTCCTAGATTCGTCAATTTGCGATTTCTTTTCTTTTCCAAGTGAAACTATTCTTTCCTGCCTCTTCATATTTGGAGTTTTTGGCACATCGTCTGATTTATCTGTAAAATTTTTTTATTACAAACAATTTCCTTAAATATATTTCTAAATCTATCGATAATAAATACCTTCGTCTTGTTCATCTTCGCTGCTTTCAGCATCCCATGAGTCTTTCACATCGTCCTTCTTTTCTTCAGACTCTTTCTGTTGTTGGTCTACAATTTCTACTTCTACTCTATTTCCTTCTGTCACGCCTTCTTCTCCTTTTTCATTGTCTTTTTCATCGACGCTTAATTGCTGTTTCATTTTGTTTGGTCTTATCCGAATTCCTAACACGTGTTATAACAATATCCTCTTACATAACTGATAATAAATTCTTAAAAATATCATTTCCTACAATAGAATATTATAACTACCTGATCTGGGTTTTTTCTCCCCTACTTCTGGTAAACCTACACCTTGGGCTTTAAGCGCGTTAAGCATAGCCTGTGCTCTCGCCCTGTCTTGTTTCTGTTTCGTAGTTAATTTGCCTTCTGCCTTTAGTCGTTCTTTTCTCTGCTTCTCCTTCAGCTTTTTCCTTTCTTTCCGCTCCTGTTCGAGCCTTAGTTGTTCTAATCGAGCCTGTTCTTGTAATTCTTCTTGCCGCAATCTTTCTTCTTGCTCCCGTTGTAATCTCTCCTCTTCTTCTTTTAATTTCTTTAAGGCTTCTTGCATTGCAGCAATAGTCTTCTTTCCAGGACCTTTGCCTATTGCATATATCTAATTATACTAAATGTAGACAGAAGTTAATGTTATATCCTAACAAACGTAGCTAACGTTAATTTACTATGTTAAAAATCTCTTAAAATTTTTGCTACCTTTATCTTTTGGTTCCTCTTTTACAACTTTCTTCTTTTTCTTTTTCCCTTCATCACCATCACCAGGTGCAGAGGTATCTATTTCGTTGACCTCTTTGGCTTCTGGTGCTTTAACTTCTGCTTCCTTTACCTGTGACTCTTTTTTAGAGCTTTGCTGTTCTATTGTCTCTTCTTCTGTTTTCTCCTCTTCATTTTCTGTCTTTTTGGCTATTTCCTATGATAATCAGATTAAATATAGTAACCAACAATATTTAAGATGAATGTAAAAAAATATAAAAATACAGGTTGCATACTGCTTTCTTCTGGGCAAGTTTCTTTTGCTTCTCCCTTTCCTTCTTTTCTTTCTTCTTCTGTGCTGCTGTTTTTACAGTACTAACTTCCATGTCATCGTCAATATCATTTGCATCTAGGAGTTCAGTAGCCTTCAACTCTTCTTTAATATCAATAACATCACCTTTTTCCTTTTTCTTATCTTTCTTTCCTTTCTTCTTTTTATCTTCAACCTCAACTGCTGGTTCAACTGGTTCATCTTTGACTTCTTTTTTCTGTCCAGAATATTCCAGTTCCAATTCAGCCAAAACTTTTTCGATATCCTCGTCACTATCATTACGCTTTCTTCTGGCTAAACATAAACATGAATTACAAAATTATATTTTGATTGAAATCTAACAAAGGAAAAAAAGAATATGTACATATTTTTCTTATTAATTAAGTAAGTAAATAACAAATTACAAGATACATTTTTAGTTTGTTATATAATTAAAATGTTGTAACCATATAGATATAAACAATTTGCAGCAAAAGCAACAGAATAGTTAAATGAAGTTCAATTATACAATCATTAAATTTTGTATACATCACTTATACAAATTACTCTCCTGCATTCATGAAACTTTCACTATCTACTTTACATCTGAGCAACTTTCACTTTACACAAGTTTTTGATTATCAATACATTTACTAAACGTGTGGTTGACACGATATCCGATATGTGAACTGCATCATTCATAATGTATTCATATTCGATAAAGTCAAAAAATCATGTTATCTAATATCACCTTCAAGTTATGAAATATGTATGTATCATAATACCGAAGTATTACGATCGCTTCCACGAATGATACAAAAATTTTACACTCCTGACGAATGTAGGAGAAGACGAACAAACTAAACATTAATATGTTCAATTGTGAACACTATGAGAAAACTAAAAATACATTATTTTCCTTTCCGTATGCAACGCAAAAGTGGTTAAGTTGAGGTTAAGCCAAAGCAGACGACATTCTTCACACGAGAAAAAAATGCCCGAAATATAATAAAAACCTAAGCGTAGGCACGGATTCGAAGAGTTATTATTTCGTTCTTATTCGATGACAGATGTGCACGAATCACGTCACTATTTTCTCACCTTTCTTGCCTTTCTTCGGCTGAGATTCCTGCATCTTGATCTACTTTCAAGAATTTCCTTATGTACGTTCAGTTTTTTCACAGTTCTTTTTACCGTTTCACTGGCAAAATTCTTATTAAACACAAATTAAATTTTACTTTTAAATATAAGTGAATTCAAAGCGATTACAAATAAATCATACGAAATCTGTAAAACCCTATCTGTCCTTTTAACCCGGTCTGCACGACTATGTGCACAACTGAACCATGTATCATTACAATTTTGCAAGATGTGCATCGCATGAAAATTAAAGTCAATTTCATATGAGCGCCAACTTGTTGTGCAAGAATATGAAAATTGTTTTTAACAAAAGAAACTTTAATTTGATAGTGTTACATCAATTTTTATTCTATGAAATATACAATTCACACAATAAATACTATTAAGTTACTTAAATATAAGATATTACGAAACATCAAGCGTAGTTCACATGAATGTAAGAATTCATCAAACTGTATATATATTTTTATTATTTTATTTCGTTATTGTAATTTCTTGTTCGTTCTCCTATTTATCACGTTTACCTACAATTATTTAACTTAGTGAAAATGAATTCTTATATGAATTATACTAAGGATAGTTTCCATTATTTTCTTACTATTTGATTTGTGATTGTAAATGGTAGTTGAAGTATGTTGCGCCATCTATTTAAAATATAGCAACTTCTGCAATAAGCGGACGGTCTTTGTTCTTTACGTTGCGACCAAGATGGTGAGTAAGTGATCTTAAGGTTATTCGTCCATAATCTGTAATTGTTAGAAGCATCTGTGAATAATTAAAATATTAACAATTGTAATTTTATTGAGAACTTACTAAACATTTTCTTATAATAAATATTTTTCTCCTGAAACAAATCATTGAATATTGATTACAAATATTCTCAGCGTTGTGACTTCGCGTTAGAATTCAAACATAACCTTCCACACAAACATGCTTTAAAATATTTTGTAATTATTTAAGTGGCTCATTGGCATAATGTTGTTTATTGTTCTTTTATCGTTAGTCTACACATAAAAAGAAGACCAGGAAGCTTCGTGGTCACGTCAGCCATGGTCATGGACGTATAGGTATGAACATGTACGAAACATTATAGAATTACAATTTTATTTAAATGGAAATAATTAAAAGTATAGTAACGTTTACTTAAATAGTAAAATAATATTTTATTGTAATTTAGGTAAGCACAGGAAGCACCCTGGTGGTCGTGGTAATGCTGGTGGTCTGCACCATCATCGTATCAACTTTGATAAATACCATCCTGGTTACTTTGGAAAGGTGAATATAATTTTTTTGACGAAAAAATCGATTCATGATACATATTAAGTGATGATAATTTTATTTTTCACTGGCGAACTGAATTACCTTGAATGCATTACATACTCTGATGAATTTTACAAATATCAAATATGTACTGGTGGAATATGTATACATTATCAGTAAGTTTCTGTTTTTATTTATAGCTTGGTATGCGGAATTACCATTTGCGACGTAATACGAAATGGTGCCCTACGTTAAATTTGGATAAATTATGGACATTGGTTTCTGAACAAACCAGGCTTAAATATAAAGAATCAGAAAATAAAGTCCCAGTAATTGACCTTGTTAAAGCAGTAAGTTCTAAAATATGTATGTTTGTATTTACATAATTGAAACTGTTTGTGGTATTACTTTCGTATTGTTTAATTTTGCAGGGGTATTACAAACTTTTAGGAAAAGGACGACTTCCTAAACAACCAGTTATTGTTAAAGCTAAATTTTTCAGTAAACTGGCAGAAGACAAAGTCAAGGCAGTTGGAGGTGTCTGTGTCCTCTGTGCTTAAGGATGCAGGTATTTACATATCTGTATATCATGTTTATAAATAAGATTGAAATTAAGAGAAACATTCTGTGATGATAGTATATGAACGGGCGGACAGAAAAGTGCGTACAACACTTAAAACCATGTAGAGCGTTCGTTCTGATAAAACTAAATTTCAATTTGATAATATTGAAATTTTTTTTTCATAAATATGATAAGAAACCTCTTGTTTCAGGAGCTGAAGCCTTGAACAAACCTGCTGTGTATAATTCTGATAAGTTTATATTCTTAATAAAATTTAAACTACAAAAAAAGAGAAAAATCATACCAACGTTTTTTTTTACCATACAGAAGCAAAGCTTGAATAATTTATTGTAATTATAAGTTTTACTTACATTTTGTGAATTTTAATAAACTGGGTTTTTCCATATTATGTGAAAACCTATAAGAAAAAGTTAGGCATGATAAAATACAACAGAAAGGTATTTTAAAGTTTTTTATACATAAGATTGTCAAAATACATTTGTCAAGAGATTTATTTTGTTTATTTTTAACACATTTTTTTTTACTACGTTTGTATAAACAATTACGCTATATGTGGAGGTGGAGGAGGTATTTGCATGCCTGTGGCTAAAAGTGCAGGAGGTGGTGGTACTGGATTGAACATAGGTGGTCTTGGTGGTGGTGGGACTGGTACCATAGGTGGTCCTAAACCAGGTCGTATTAAAGGAACTGGAGGTGGTGGTACTTTGCCAACTGATGGTTTTTCATTCTTAAATGCGAACTGTAAAAAGAATTGCTTTGTATCTTTATTCCAATGTGTCCAAAACTTTCCTTCTGCCTTTTCTACTTCTCTACTGGGAACCTAAAAAAAAATTGTAGACTGTTAACAGATAAATTACTACATAATAATTTATGTCTTAATTAGTTTACCTTAAAAGCTATTGTTTCATAGGGTTCGGCAGCAAACAACAAGTACTGCCATTTGCGGTCTGGTGGCTCAACTCTTTGTTCATATGCTGACATAAACCTATGTCGAGGAATAACATTATCTGCAACTTCTGGATAGTCAACTTGAAACAATAAACTTTGCTGTCCTGATTCTGGATCACGTTGTTTGGTTACTCTATAACCCGGTCTTCCAATTTTTACAAATTTCTTCGGTTCTACTCGAGGTTTTTCGGGTGCAAGTGTTTGAGGTGCTTCCTTCGCTTCTTTGGCAGCCCTTCTAGCTAGGTTAGCTTGATGCTTTTTACCCTGTGTGTGAGCCAAATAACTGCCTTCGTTGTTGTGAAGAGTTAAACACAATTTACATTCATAAGAACCTAAATGATTTTTCATAAAATATGGGTCTTTGTTGAGGTCAATAGTTTCTAATGCAAGTTGTCGCAAACGTTCTCTTCTGTCTCGATTACTCTCTGACCAAGAGGCAACACCTCCACCGCCAGTTTTACCTCCTGGACGATTTTGGAAATCCATTTTCGGTTTTTATATCACTTTCCGCACTTACTTAAATACAGAAAACATTAATGTTTCTCTGAAAATAACATAACATACAACTCTCTGATATAGGTTAACTCTCACTAAATTGTTTGACGCCTTACGATATATCGAAGTTGCTGCGGTGTCAGTGCAGGCAATATAAGAAATATTACCAACAAAGATGCCTTACACTATATGGTACTTTAAATGCAAAGTAAAAATATTTTTAACGCTAATAATTTTTTGTTTACATTTTAGTATTTAAGTCCGTAGTATAATTTCCTTTAGTGTTCTATCTTAGTGATGTAATTACAATAACAAGTTTGATGAACGAATTTTATTAATTTGATATCATAATTAATTTATTCAATTTAAATTCAAACTTGGAATAATAATTAACGTATGGCACATTTTATATTATCGATATTTATACAATTATATTGTGAACAGTTTATGAAATCACAGATCGTATCCTATTGTGAAGTTGGCGCAAAAAAATATGATACATGTATAGCCACCTTTAACGTCGTAATATGTAAAACAAAATTCTTAACTTTTGCTCTTATTTACATTACTTTATGAAAGTACAAAAATATGATATGTCAAAAATATAAATATTTTAATACGGCTACTATTTACATTAATTTAAAGAAGGAATGAACATAATACTTGAACAGTAGTAGACCTCTTATGCCGAACAACAATTCGGGTTGTAATTTATGAAAGATATTTTCTATTAATAATTATTCCAAATGCTTCTCTTGTAATTTGAAGTTTTTGTAAGCTTCAATATATTGGCTGGAACATTTTCTTTCATTGCTCTGTAGAAAATATAATTTTATATATATTTAAATATAACTAAAGTAAAGGAAAAATAGAATGTGAAAAAGAATAAACGTGCGAGCTCTAAATAACATGCACATGAAAACAACGATAGAATTTCAACAAAATATGAAAATACTTAATGAATAATGTATGATATTTTTTTTTTATGTTTATATAAATGTAATACGTTAAATACTGGCTTGAAAAAAATAAACATGTGTAATTTTCTTATCTAATATCACCAAGCAATAGTATATGAGTACCCCATTGCATATATGAATAAATAAACTACAGAAATTGCATTCCAATAGTTAAGCACCACTGAAGAGAAACTTAATGATAATATCTTAGTTTCAAGCAAAATATATTTGAAGAAATGTGCTCCTCACGGTATTATGTTTTTTTCCAAATTAAATTTTTTGTCGAAATGCATTGTGCAAGTATATTGATTTGATTTTTCTTGCAAAAAGTCAATGCGTTTTGAGGATGATGTAGCTTGTGCTTCTAATTCTCTTACTTTATCCTCTAAATCTTTTATTTGTCGACATTGTGAACGGCATACATCTTTTATCATTGCCTTGTCTTTTTCTAGTTTTGCAATTTGTACACGATCCTGTATACATGTTACAATTAATTTGAAGTAACGTTACTATACTTCATATTTTTACTTACATTAATTATTCCGTTATTTAAATTAAGAGGTCCTCGCATATTATTAGGAGTTGCTTGACAAGCTTTCTCTCTTTTATTAATACGCCACCATCGACAGGTATCGCATTCCCACGTATTGATATCGTTCAGAGTTCTTTGAAGCTTTCTTACTTCACAACTAAGTTCGGAATTCTACAAAAGAATTAAATTTCCAATGAATATTGATTAATTGTAAAAAAATATTGAAAAAAAGGATATCATACATACTTTTTCTCGCAATGTGAGTATTTGTTCTTCAAGTTCCTTGCATTTTTGTTGGTAAGGGAAATTTTCACTCTCGATTTGCATCTCTAGTGCTGCAATTTGTCCATTTCTTGATACCAATTGTATTTCTAATTCTTGAATTTTTTTTCTTAGTATTTGACATGTTTCTTCATTTTCATTAACATCTGTATCCAACATTACATTTTCCAATTGCCTCCTTTGATTAAACACCTCATTTCTACTGCGCCTTCTTCTGTTGTTTTCAAAAGCCGGACTAGCACATCTTGAACCGCTACTGTTGCTTTTTAATTCCACTTTATTCTCATATTCGTTAATTTTTTTTTGTACTTTTGAATTCTCTCTTTTCAAAATATAACAAATTTCTTCATTGTACCATTTTTTATCTTCTATCTGTTTATTATCGATTTGTGCCGTTTTTTCAAATGATTGAAGTTGTTTTTTAATATTTTTATTTTCTTCGTCTAATATTTTTAATTTTTCCTCTAATTTATTAATTAATTTATTTTGTGTCTGATGGTCACATAATTTAGTTTTTAAACTTGAGATTTCTGTATCTCTTTGACATAAAATAGCAGCACATTCTTTTAGTTGGTTATCAAGTTCTTCCTTTCTGGTAATTACATCTTTTATTTGATATATGTGTTTTTTAATCTCTTTATCCCTTTGGATTAACAATAATTTTTTACCTTCTAATTCTAGTGCAATTTTATTTTTCTCTTGAAGAAGAGCATCATACTTACTATTTCCTTGAGAAAAACATGGAATAGTTTGTTTCGATTTGTACAGTGATAAAGATTTTTTTATTTCAACATTTTCTTGAGACAGTAATTCATATTGACCTTTCAAATTAACTAATTCTTTTAAAATTTTATTTTTATTATCTTGTAGCTCAATTATGCGGTTACTTGCTCCTTCCAAGCTATTTTGTAATCTCTTATTCACATCTGTTAATTCTTCCATTTCTGCTTCAGCTTTCACTTTACTTGTACTATTTCTAATTTTTCTTTCCAACTTTGCATTTACTTGTTGCAATACTTCGTATTCTTCTTTCAGATTATCTAATTGTTCTACTAAAGTTACATTTTTGTTATTTAATTCATTTAATTGTCTATTTAATCCAACATTTTTTATTTCTTCTGAATTTAATTGATCTTTGATTATTTCAATTTCCTTTTCCTTAGCCATTTTTAATCTTTCTGTCTCTTCTTTGTACCGTACTATACTTTCTTTCTTTTCTTTAACTTGATTTTGTAGTATTTCATAATCTGGCATGATAGTTTCAAGTTTAGCTTTATATTCGGATAACATGTCACATTTATTTTTTAAAAGAGCTTTAATATTTTCAATTTGGGATACTTTCTCTTCTACTTCATGATTTACTTCATTAAAAGCTTCTGTGAGTTGTTCAAACTCATGGGTCATTTTCTCTATCGTTTGCTTGTTAATTTTTAATTCAGAAGAAATTGTTTCTATAATATTTTTCAATTGTTTCTCATTAGCTTCGAAACCTTCAATGTTACTTTTCAATTCCATATTCTTTGTCTTATAAATCTCTATGGTACAAACTAGTTCTTCTATTTTCTTTTCATATACCTGTATCTCAAATCTTATTTCAGAGTGAAGTTCAATTTCTTTGTTTACAAAGGCTTCTTGAGCCTCTTTTTCTCGTTTTTGAGCAATAACTAGTGCTTCTTCTTTTTGTTGAATATCTACATTGCACTGTTTATCAAATTCACTTTGTAAATTAGTGAAATCAACTTGTAGCAGATCCATTTTTTCTTTAAGTGTTTCCTTTTCATAATTATTTTCCCTTAACATGTGTTCTAACTGATTAACTCTATCTTGCTGTTGTGTACATAAATTTTCCTGTTTTATTAAGTCTGTTTGTAATTTTTCAATTTCTGTTTCTAATTCTTTAGCCCATGATGTTACACGCTTCTCTACATCCGCACTTTGTTGTATTTCATCTTCTAACTTTTGTTTGTCCATTTCAAATAATCCTCTCATTGTTTTAATTACTTCTTCCTCCTTTGACATGAGTGTCTGCAAAAATATAATAAAAATTTCATCTGCTGTTTTGTTTAAGAAATCCACAGAATTTACTTTGTATTTAAGTGACTTCAATTCCTTCATCATGCATTCTTTGACAGTATCCAACTCTTCCCTTAATTTCTTATTATCCGTAATTAAAGGATTTTCCCCCTTATACGTAAATTCATTTTTATCGTGTAAATTTTTGAATTTCAATTCAATATCTCGAAGTTTTATAAGTTCTTGCGTCAAACTATCATTTTCTTCAACATATTTATTTAACGTTTCATTTATTTTCTTGAATTTAATTTCAGATTCATTGGTATATTCTTCAAAACTTTTTGTTATTATTTCAAATTCATTTTTATATTTCATTTCTGAATTATCTTTGGGATCAATTAATTGAACCTCAAGTGCTTGCAATTTTTCTTTGAGTACTTCTTTCTCCTTCTCACTATCTTGTAAAAGACTTTCCAACTGGGAAACTTTTCTTTGAAGTTCTTTGTACAGATGCTCTTGTTTTGTTAAATCTGTTTGAAGTTTTTCCACGTCTGACTTTAATTCTGTTGCCCACAATGTCGCATGTTTTGCTGCTTCGGTGCTTTCTTGTTTTCCTCTCTCTACTTCATTGTATTGTTTTCTTAATAGTTCCAGTTCGTCTTTATATTTATATTCGATAGTTTCAGTTGAAATGGTTAATTCATTCTTCTGATTGGTTATTGAATCTAACTCATTCTTCAGTGATGAAATGCATTCATTTAAATCGTCAATTGTTCGATGTAATCCAGTGATAAGAGTGTCTTTATTTTCTTTCTCAACTTTCAAATCTTCTAATTTTACTTCTAGCGTCAACTTTTCGTTGCATATCATTTTCTCTTTCACAGAAAACTGCTCGATTTCTTTGCTCATACTTTTTAATTCATTCTCAAGAATTTGCGCTTTCTCTGTGGCTATTGCTGCTGTTATTTCCCTATCTGATACTTGTTGCTGTAGTTCTTCATTAATGCTTTTCAGTGTATTGATTTCGTCCAATAAGCTTCTTTTTTCCGTCCTAAATTTACTAAGCAAGGAAGTAAAATTCGTACTATTCTTCTTTAATTCATCTATGTCCTCCTTTACTTGGTCGATACTTTTTTGAATTTGTTCGATTCTAGTTTCACTTTTAAGCCCATGTTTCTTTGGTTTACAATCATCGTCTGTGTTCTTCGTATCAACTACTTCATCGTGAAATTTTTCAAGTTCATTGCACTTTTCCTGATATAAGGCAGACAATTTGTCATGATTATCTTTTAAAGCTTCTAATTCGTTATTCAAATATTGAACTTTTTCTTCTACAAAGCTTACATTCATTCCATCTGCAAAACTGGAGTTAAAAGATGTATCGCCAAAACTTAAATTCAATTCTTGATTAACTTTAAGTTTTAATATTTCGGTATCTGCACACTTACGATCGAATTTCTTTTGCAAATCTTCTAACTTGTGATTTAAATGTTTCGCCTCGAGTTTAAGTGCTCTACGACTCTCGTTTAAGTTCTTCAAATGCGTACATTGGCTACAAGATGATAATTTTAATTCGCTCAATTTTTTATTCAAATGAGATAAATGATTGACTTGATCTTGTAACGTTATAACTCTGTTTGCCAATTCCTCGCGATTTTCTTCCTGTACTGGGTTCTTTGCTATTTCAGTTATCTTTATAGTGTCATCAGGTACTGCAGACAAGTGCGACGTGTTAATACTCAATTTGTCATTGCGTGAATTATCAATTTCTTCCATAGTTTCCAACAAATTATGAGAGAACTTTGCATTTTCTTCAGATAGCATTGTTACTTTCATTTTTAATTCAACAATTTCGGCTCTCAACATACTGTTCTCTGTCTTTAACAGCTCTTCATCATTTTTATCAAAATTCGTATTTTCTATTGAAGATATTTTATTTCTTAAGATATCGGATTGTTCTTTCAACATGTCATTTTCTTCAATTTTGTCTATTAAGTCGGTAGAAAGTTCATTGTTTTCCGTTACCAAAGATTCGTTTTTTTCCGTAAGTAATGTAACCTTATCCTTGTAAATACATTCATGATCATACAGTAGCGATTTACTTTCTTTAATGCTCTCAAGTTCTTTATTTTTTTCTACAATTATAGTTGATAATTCAATATTCTCTGTCTTTAATGCATCGATTTCATTTTGATATTTAAAGGTTAATTGCTCATCGCTATATCCTTCTGAGGTTTTTGAACGAAGAGATTCTAATTGACCATTCAAAACCCTTAAGTCGCTTTCTAGATTGATTTTTTCGTCTGTAATTTTTGAAATACGTGTATAAAGTTGGTCGATCGACGTTTGAAGATTAAGTTCAATTTGTTTCGAACGTTCTTTTTCAGCCAATAATTTAGTGGTCATTTCCATATTTTCATTTGTTAATAAATAAATAGTTCTTTCCAATTTTTGTGCATCTATCTTAAGACTTCGAACATCGTTCTTTATTTCATCTAATTCTTCAACTTTTAGTGTTAAATTTTCTACTAACTTAGCCTTCTCATCTTCCAACTTTACTATTAAATTTGAAGAATATCCGTTAATTTCGTCATTTTTAAAACAAAAACAGGTAGATTCTTGTGCAATTTGTTCCTCTAAATTCTTGAAAGGAATGAAAAATTAGATAAAACTAGAAAACATATTAAAATATATGAATATAAATATCAGTTGCACTCACATGTGTGCAACAGTGACTTTTTTCGCACATTAATTGTTTTTCTAAAGTTGTAAACTCACGTAGTTCGATCAGATCCTTTGTTAGGTCTAAAATATATCTCCGCAAAACACTTTTTGGTGTAGAAGGAGATGCTTGATTGCTGTTACAAAGAAAAGAATCTATTAGAGTAGTATGAACAAAATAAATATTTCATTAATAAACAGTATATACCTCAAAGTTTGTACACAAGAATCTTGTTTTTCTGGAGTTAGATAAAAATTATCATTTTTTAAATCTACATTAAATTCATTTTCACTGTACAGTTCTGTATTATTTTCTTTGGTTTCATAATCCCCTTCACAATCGATCAACTCTAATTCAAAGTCTGTAAAAGCTGCCTCAAATGCTGAAAGCATGAAATAAGATAAGTTGTCACATTATATAAAATATTTCAAACAATAAACAGCATAATATGATAAATTTACTTTGACTTATAACATTCACTGATTGCATAATTTTCTTTTTATATGGTTTCTCAGGTGATATTTCTTTTATTGTTGGCAAACAAACTTTAGTATGGCATACAGGTAAATACTGTGTAAATGTTCCAGGATTATACGAAATCTGTCTTCTTCTAGATTTATATTTAAGTTGTTCTTCGCAATTTTTTGTAAATCCAGAAATAAATTGAGTCTTTAGTAACTTTATACATTCCTCTAGCAAACGATAAATATGATACTTCATTTTCAAGTTATTTGATTCTACTTCTTCAGACTCTACAGGTGAGTTTCCAGTTCTTATTCTCTATTGAAATAATGCCAATATGAAATAGTAATTGTTACAAAAATACATGGTAACTTGTAAAATAAAATTGCAATTAACAATACAAACCTCTAATTCTGTTTGTAGTTTAGTTAACTGTTTTGCATAACGTATTAGAAGTGGTGAATCAGACATAACTCCACTTTTTTGTGGTTTGGTTGTAATAGTCTTGGCTTGAGATGCACACCTAAACATTAAAAAAAAGAAAAGTGTCCTAATATATACTAAATTATGAATATTATTACAGTAATACCATACTAACAATAAAGTGCTGTATGTTTCCTCTAAAGCAACAGGTGTGACTGTACATATTATTGCTGTTAAAGCATTGCCATTTAATGATGACTGTAGCAATTCTGTTAATTTACTGCTATGGTAATCAGTATGTTCCTGCACATTTTGCAATTTAGTTTCTTGTATAATTAATGATTCTAAAGTGAAAGGGGATATGTCAGATTGCTGTTCTTCAACAGCATCTATGCAAGGAATTTTTTTTAAACCAGCAAGATCTATTAAATTTAATTGTGATACTTGTACAACATTCTTGGAATCCTCTTCAACTTCTTGACTTTCAATTGTCTAAAAAATATATAAATTTACTGTATTAGAATATAAAATATGTAAAATATAAAACATCCTGTGTAATCTTACAATTCGAAATATGCTGTGACTGCTAATGAATTTATTCCTGTTGATTTCTAATAGTCTTTTATTTTTTATTCCTTTTTCCATTACAGATAACATATTATCTGAAGAGTTTATAATTTCTTCCTTACAATTAATAATTGTCTGTCCATTGTCATCTTTATACAACTTCAAGTCAGTTCCATTCTTACTTAATAAGTCATTTATTTTTTCATCACAAATTTCTAAATAAGATACTCTAAAAGGTATGAACATTTATTTGAGACTTCCTAAAGGTTTATCATTTCAGCTTTTATGCTTAATACAAACCTTAACAAAAATTCACGCTTAACAGTACTTGAAATAATGTTAAATATGTATTCAATAGTAAGTGGTATTACACCTGGTTCCTCTAATGTACCTGTCATTGTGTATGTTTTGCCAGAATGACATTGACCACAACAAAATACTGTTCCATTAAAGCCATCTATAGCTGCATCAACAATAGGTTTTATAATACTGTTAAACACATCTGAATTTGTGGCATTTGTATCAAAAATATGATCTATAAACATGATATTAAAAATTAACAATACAGTAAGATATTTAATTACCAAATTTGTTACTATGGGAATCAATATTTTTATCTATTCAATAATTTGTTTGTAATGGGTAAAAAGTAGGTTACAAATAATGCATTATATTTAATGCTCATCATTCTTATTATCTATCTGTACATAAATGAATATAATGTTAATATTAATTATCCAGTGATTTATAGTAGTAACATTTAATATCAAATAATACACGGATAAACAGTTTCTGAGTAATAAATAGTTAATGAAATTCTAATTATTCGACTATTTCATTTACATTTTTGGAGAGAATACGTCATCAGACGTATAAGTAGGTTATCCTTTGGACTTAAAGACACAATCGAACTTCCGTGTACGGTCCATTGTAACGATAAATTATCATCTTTTTCCGGCTCCAACAAGGGTCTCAATTTGATTCCCACTTTGATAGTGCTTGACATTTTCCTTTACTAATATTTTGAACGAAGCAGCGCAAAAATTTTGGTACGAAGCCACTGCGTTCTTAAATTATTTTACGTTTTCCAGCCTCGTTACATGCCGCTCGATGAATCGCAACTGTCATTTAAAATGACAACTGTTTCAACACATATTTAAATTTAAATTTTCTGCGGTCCGATTGGTTTAGTCAAGCATGCATTGCAATAAGCAAGAACGTGACAAGACTAAGAATACTTAATTTTTATACGCTAAAGGTGTATTTGAAAATTATATATTCCACAATTACATATGTATTTGGTGTATTACTTAACACTACTTTTCCGATTCATTGCAACATTTCTAAAGTTAGAAACACTGATAAAAAATGAAAATTTAAATAAACCACAGCCTTTTTATGTAAATACAAACTTCGTTAATAAGATGAGTAAACGTGTAATTAATATTTGCTATTATTAATTATTTCCTCTTTTTAAATGATTACTTACGAATTTAAATTTGATTATCTTCTCTAATCGACTATCAATTCGATCATATCGAACCTACAAAAACATGTTATCGATAGCGGTGTCTGCTATTGTTGTTACGCGATAACGTTCTGTTTGTGAAACGTTAATTTGTTGACGTAGGAAAACATTGTTGCATCTATATTTTTAATTGAAGCGGATTCATTTATAGATTTAACGTTATTAGTGATGTACAGTGTTAGAAATATTTCTTAAAACAGTGGTTTTTGGAAATTCCCTTTATAAATGTTAAATAGGTTAGCGCTTCATATAAAACATTTCTAAATTTGACATTTTACAATACTTTGAAGAATTAAAAAAAATAAATGTTTAGATCTAAAATAAAAATTTCTACTCTTATACATTTATTTTACACAAGAAATGACGAATGACAATGATTATTAATTTTGTTTTTTATTTATAAACTTAATAGGCACAAGCATCAGAATGGATCGTGGCAAGGCTGGAATTGGTAGGGGTGCAAAAAATAAAATTGCCCAGCATCCTTCTGATTTATTTGCACTTGGTTCCAAAGGTTCACGTAATGAAAATTCTGATGCTAAGAGGCCAGGTGTTATTCATTCTAAACCAAGTAGTAGTTCTTCAACTTCTGGTAAATAAAGCATTGTTCTTTTGATATACTTTCAAAGAAAGATTTGGAGAAAATTAAGCCAAATATTTGACACAGTTAATACATATAATGTGTAAAAACTTATGTAGGAAATGATCGGAAAAAGGAAGCACCATCAGGATCTGTACAATCTTTTCAATATATTCCACAAAAAAAACCTAAACTTGCAACACATGTTTCTCATCAGAGACCACCATTCTCAAGTGCTGAAGCTTGGGAATTGGTAGCCATAGACAGTGATCCAGCAGATTTTGTTCCAATGGTTTTGGAAGCTAATGATAATGATGAGGGTGACAAAGTTATAGGCATCATTTGTGGTGCCATTAAAACTCTTAAAAATCAAAAATGGAAGCCTGATACATTGGTTTACATGGGATTATTGTACTTAGCAAAAATTCGTCCTTCTATTTTTTCAAATGATTGCATATTACATGCACTATCATCTTTGTTGAAACGGGATCAAGCACATAATTACAAAGCTAAAGGAAATCCATTGGTTCCTGTGCTTGCAGCTAATTTGTTGATGAAGGGGTTTCATGAAAAAAGAAACTGGCCAGAAATTTTTGTAAAGGTTGTTTATAAATGCATTATATTCATGCTTATTTTTTGTTGTATGTAACATTTGATTTAAAATTAATTTTTATTGTTTTTTTTTTTTGTAGCTGTACATTGAGGATGCTTTGGGTGAAAGGGTATGGGTTGATCACGAAGAATGCAAAGGTTTTGTAGATAATATTTTAACGGGATTTAACACACGACATCCACCGAAAAGCGTTTTACAACCAGAACTATCAGTCTTAACACCGCGCGATTGTCATAGTCCATCTACGGTTGACGACGAAGATCCGGGGTCTTCGTCTGTACAATTTTCTGGAGACAAAGAAAAGATAGAATTTCCTGTGACTCCCAGATATGCTCATTGTATAGAGAATATAGAATTCATTGTTCTTGAAGCTGTAAAAGAACAATTGAACAGGCGACAACCGGAGTCAATTACCAAGAACTTTCTCAAATTACTTTCTTCAGCCTGTGGTTTTGTAGAAATCAGAAATATCGCTGTTCCGAGATTAGAAATGTGGCTACATAACCCGAAATTAATGAGACCTGCTCAGGAACTACTGAGTTATATTTGTTACAATTGTACTTCTCATACACAAAGAGATGTTGAAGTTATAAGTCAATTAGTAAAAATGAGATTGAAGACCAAAGCCGTAATTAATCTATATCTAAATGGTGTAAAGGAATTAATCGGTTTACACCCTGAAAACTTATCTACTATCTTGAAGCATACAATTTACAATGAATTATCTACTGCAAGAAATCCGTATAACATGCCAATGCTGGGTGTAATGTTTCAAACTTTACCCGAACAAGCGGCTAAGCTACTCGCTGAAATATTTCAAGATTTACTAATGAATCGGGAAGATTATCTTAGACCTTTACGTGCTTTGCTCAGAGAAATCGTACGTGTCTGTCGACACGATATTAATTTACTTACTTTTGCGCGCACATTAATGTCCGAAAGACAGGATATAGCGCAACAGTTACTTAATTTTGAATTCAAAGAACGAGTCTTCATTTCAATTGCAGATTTATTGTGCCTATGTATGTTATTAGCTATCAGTCCACAAGTTAAAGAAGCTGCGGCATTGGCACAAAGAGGCGACAAAAAAGATATAGCTTTATTACATCAATTTCAAAATATGGTAGCGACAATACAATTTGAAGCCGTATTGTGGTTACAAAATTCGGCACCACAAATGTACGCCATTGGAAAAAATGAGCTCCTTCATGCTTTGCATAAAATTTTACTCCTTGAATCTCCAGAGCAATATTATAAATTAGATAACTGGCCTCCTGAATCTGATAGAGTATTTTATTTACGTCTTATTTCTGATGTTCCACTATTACAGAGTACATTGTTAAGACTGCTATTAATTGGTTTCTCAAAAGTGTGTGTCTAAAATAATAAATTCTAATGCATAACTTTAACATTAAAATTTAAGTCTTTTATAATTTGTATTTCAGGAAAATGGCATTACTCATTCAGAAACGTTAGACTTAGTGGATCAATTAATACGACGAAACTATAAATATACCATCAAAGTATTTATAAATATTAATGGTATTATAAATTTAATTAATTTAGCAGGAATTTATTTTAATTATTATTTATTTCTTTTTTTTTTTAGCTATGTACCACCTACTTTGGCAATATCGAATCTATATTGGAAAGGATGGATAATGTTATTAATATTGGCAGCCCATAATCCTTCAGCTATTGGTGCTGTTGCGTGGAAACGATATCCTATTTTACGAACCCTCATGGAAATGTGTATTACAAAGTATGTTTAAATATTTTTGCTCCCGAGGAAAAATTATTGTGAATTTCTTTTAATGCAATATTGCTTTGCAGTCATTTCTCGTATCCTCCGCCGACGATGGCGTTACCAGAAATTATAGAGCAAGAACGTTCGAAAGAATTGCAAGTTGAAGCTATTGAGAAACAAGAAATACTCGAATATGAATCGCACTTAGCTGCTGCATCAACGAGAATACAAATATCAGAACAAAATAGCTTGCTGTTATCACAATTGATGACTATGGAACCAACTGGTATTGCTAGGAGACCGCCTCCGGCAGTGTTAGAACAAATACAATCGTTAAATGTGTCCCATAGATTGGGACATTTACTTTGTCGGTCTCGTAAACCAGATTTCTTATTAGATATAATACAAAGACAACAGCAAAGTTCGTCTCAGAGTATGCCTTGGCTAGCAGATCTTGTACAAAATAGCGAAGGGTCCCTTAGTCAATTACCGGTACAATGTCTTTGCGAATTTTTATTATCTACTAGTGCTCAAGCTGTGGAGAAGCAACCAAGACAACAGCAGTTACTAGCCCATCTTCAGATGTTATTAACCGATCCCGAACAAGATCGACAGCATGCTTACGAGGTCTTAGAATATTTCTTAAGAAGACTGAGTAGTCAACAAACTGGCAGTCGTCTTCAAGCAATTACAGGTTTAAAGATGGTCCTTGGATCAATACCTACCGAAGAAGAGCCTATGGACATAGACGGAGAGAATGAAAAGTAATTCTTTTAATAGATTTACCTATGAAGCACTTACTTCTTTAAAGTAAAAGCTGCATGTAAACCATTTCTTTCTTTCAGGGAGGTCTGGCTTATTCGGAAATTACCGTCCATACCTCACTTCTTATCGGTACGGTCTTTGGTTTCCACTGCTCTTCGAGGTGCTTGTCAGGTCGAGAACAATCCAGACCTTGTACACGCCTACATATCTTATCTTGCTGCGCACACTACTGACGATGATCTACCCGATTTAACCGATTTGGCTAACGAAATATCGCAGCTAGTGGTCGAACGGAGTACAATTATAGCAGCTATTTTACCGCAATCAGAAATTGACAATTCACAAGCTAAACAAACTTTACACGCATTCATGGTGATCTTTTGCAATTATTTAGAGAAAGCTCGGTCTCCAAGAGCAGAAGAGTATACGTGGTCTGAGAGCCAAGATCAAATATTAGTACAATGGAGTACAGGAGAAGAATGTACCATGCATATTCTGGTTGTTCACGCTATGATAATCCTCTTAACTTATGATTGTGAGGATGATGTATTGTTCGATGTTTTGCTTGAAACGTGGTTTCCACTGAATACCGAGCCACCAAAAGCTTTCCTTGTTGACACGAGCGAAGAAGCTTTACTCATACCAGATTGGTTAAAATTAAGAATGATTAGGAGTAGTGTGCCACGTTTGATAGATGCAGCTCTCAAAGACCTCGAACCACAACAGTTGGTTCTTTTTATTCAAAGCTTCGGAATTCCCGTGCCTTCAATGACTAAATTACTCCATACTCTGGATGCTGGTGTGCAAATCGATCCAAGCTCAGTTGGTGAAGCAGTTCTCGATAAGACATATATGGCGCAATTAGTTGAAGTTCAACACAGGAGAGGAGCAACAGGTGGACTAGTTTTTGTACAAGTTTTACAATTGATGGAGCCTCAATTACCTGATGAAAATGCGGTGACTGTTGGACAGTTGCAAGAACCATTACCCCTCAGTGCTATGGTCCAGAAACAATCTGTTATACAATGTTCTGTTAAAACGGACGTCCCCCATTTGATCAATAGATTGTTCATTGAAAATATACCAATGAATCAAAAGGTAGATGCATATCGTCGATTGCACAAAACTTTGGCGAAAGATTTGCAGAAATCAGCCAAAGAAAGTGGGGCTGTTGTGTTAGCAATACAACACATATGCAGCGTATTGAGCTCGATGCAAGTCAAGCAATTCTTAGCTTCCCTTGTTCATATGCCACAATATTCTTGCACTTTAATGCGGGTAATATTATTACCTTTAAAGAAATCATCTACCTCGCAACAAGTGGTCGAATTGGCACGTAATATGTGTTTGAATTTAATACAATTGATAGGCGATGTAAAGGCACCAGTTCTATCCATTTTACGAGACTTTGCAAATGTGCAGTTAACTAAAACGCCAAAAAGTATGGAACTGACGATGTTGATGCAAAATCGAGATCCTGGATCTATCTTAGAAAGCACAGACCCGGTAAATTTAGAAGCAGTGGGTTGTAAATTATTAGATATTTGTCTTAAACAACAAAAGAACGATGTTCTTGTAGAAGCAGTGGCAAGGTTGTTAGTAAGTGATAGTAATGAAGGTATTTTGAAACCAAGAACTGGTTTATTAATTGACTGGTTAGCATCTGTAGAACCAGAATTAATTGGCACATGTCCTATTCTTCAAATGAAACTTCTATTTGGGAAAACGAAGATACAAATGAAAATTGATAACAACGTTGTAAGCTCACATTCGTTTAGGCCTTATTTGTTAACTTTATTAACGCATAGAGCAAGTTGGGCAACTTTGTACAAATGTGTTGGACACTTGTTAGATAAATGTGATGACGGGTAGGTAAAAAATTATTAAAACGTTTAGAAAGAAAATGAAAGACAATAAAATATTATTTTTACAGGTACGATCCGACGGCTGTTTTAGATTTTTTGTGGGCGTTAACCTGTAATCCAAAACTTTGGCAAGGCAGAGACAAGTTCACACCAAAGCACTATGTTCCAGAAAATATTTTACTTCTGCATGAGAAACAATTATTAACACTTGTAGCATATATAGTTGCAGAGGCTGTTATTATATGTAATTGTCAAAATAGAAACACCGCACTTGCTAGGATAGAGTCTCGTCTTGATTTGTTGTTACACTGTGTTTCTACGGACGATCATTTGATAGCTAGTGTTGTAAAATATTTGGCTGGGCGTATGATGAATGACTCAAAGTATGTTTATTTTAGTATACCGTTATCTCCACATTTGAAACAAAAACTTTCTAAACGGTTTTGTTTTTGTGTTTAGCATTGACTCTGACATGGCCCATCAATTTTTATTACATATGTACATGAAGATACCTAAAGTAATATGCTATTTAGACACTTTTCAAACTAAAATGTTTGTTGGAGGAGCACAAATTACAGAATGGACTGGTTCTGTGTTGGATTGTATGAGCCACTCTTTGTTAACTGCTTTAGCAGCAACACCAAGGCAAAAATCATGGAATTCCAGGTCTCAGGATTTCGAATTATGTGCTCGAAAAATGGCTGCTGTACATCCTATTTTAATGTTACGACAACTTCCCATGTTAGCTTCATCTTTAATGGGAAGATCTTACATGGACTTTAGCCAATTTAGATCAGGCCATCATTTAAACCTTTTTGTACAAATAATGGGGTTGTTGGAATTATTACAGCCACATTTGTTTAGTGAAGAACATCAGACAGCTTTGGATGACACATTAGAGAATTATTTTCAGTGCTTCCAAGTATGTAAAGGAATATTCTTATTAATACATATTAAATTACAGATTACTAATTTGTTTTATTTTCAGAATTATGGTCCAGTGAAAGATCTCATACCACTCTTAAATAGATTTATTACTTTACTACAGGCATATATCTCTTATGATCCACAAAGGGCACTGAAATACTTGCAAAAGCATGCTCATATTCTTCAGTAAGTAATATCTTGGATCTCTTCTAATGACTATCAGACACCAACTTACACTTACATATAGTGAATTGCAGGTACACTATCCGAATCTAGTTACACTTAGAACACTTGTATCAGGCATTCCAGTGCCAAGAGAAGGAGAAGATTTAGAAGAGGTTTTAATTACCGTTCCTCCTACTCCACCTCCTTCAGAATCCATTATTCCACAGCACTGGCCATCATTGCTAGGTACCCTATCTAAACTGCAAGGTGAAGGTATGGTTACAAAATATGTTTCAATTTCGGTTAAAATTTTTTTGTAATACTAAAATATATAGATTTTAATATCATATTTCAGATGTATTTAGTGCTCTTCAAGAAATTGAACACTTATCCTCTCGAAAACCCTCGGTGTTAGAATCTATAACGGATAATATAGCGGAATTACTTATATCTCCGCAAAGTAATATAAGATCTCTTGCTCACACGTTACTAGCAAGAGCACTAAAACATCGTCCTGCATCAAATGCAAATATCTTATCCGCATTTCAAAGGTGTCTGGACAGTCCTAGAGCCGATATTTTAATGTCGGCTCTAGAAAAATTGCCAGAAATTGTATTATATATGCAGGGTAAGTTTCTCCATTGCTGTTGTAAAATCAGCAAATTTACATTCTCATAAATTATACCTCATTACAGAACATGCTTTACCACTGATGCAGAAGGTATTTGAATTAGGAGTAAATTCAAATGTGAATACTATACCATATATAAATAAAACCATTGCTTTGTTAAATACACAGCAAGGTTGTTAATATTACAAAAACTGTAATTTTTTATTTTGTATAAAATGGAATAAAAAATTTTTTATGTAAAACAGTAATTGCCACTTATTTTATTTTTCTTAGATAATTACACATCATTTGAGAAATTACAATACGAAATTATAAACGAAACTTTTACAAGGTAACATTAATTTAATATCATACGCGCATATAAATTTGTACTCACAATTACAACATTTTCATATTATGCTGCAGATGTACTGTAAATAATAATAGAATTATATACATGTAAGTCTAACACAATACACTATAAAATACATATATGTCATAGAAAAGCTTCAGGTGGTACATTGTTAACTGTATACATATTCATAAATGTTGTAATAGCTGTCCTTATATCCCAGTTGGCATCTTCAAGATACTGGTAGCAAAATTTCATGTTCATTGTAGTCAATTCATGCAAAAATGTGAGTAATTGTTCTTTTTCAGAAACACTAAACACAGTTGGAATAAATTTTGGTGCACCTTTTGATTCATATCTTATTTCACTGTTTCCTGACAGATTACCATTAGCAGGTGTTCCATCAAGGTAGCACTGGTCATTAGTAATACAATATTCATTATCTTCTTTTCTCATAATTATGAAAGTTCTGTTGAAAAACATTCGTGGACAAGATACTTCTCTAAATGAGAACAGTCCTTGCACAGAAATTGCAAGGTGGACTTCTCCTTCATACAATAAGTCCACGTGAAATGATTTAAAGTGGTGTGTTGTAGGTGGTTGACTTCTGAGTGCAGAAATAATTTTTTCTGGACCACGTAATAAAAATTCTTGACACTTAGCATAATCAACAAACTTAAGTAAATTTCTGTTTGTAACAAATGCTTTAGTTAACTGCTTATGAATGTAATTTGAAATAGGTCCTTGTGTCATAGAGTAAAGTGCATCCCTATCATATAAGCCATTCATCACTTGCCTATCATCTTGGTCATACAATGTGAAATAATGCTTCACAAATTGTTTGATAAGGCAAGCTTTTGAACCATCTCTTAGAAAATTACTTTGAATATTAGGAACAAACTTTTGCTCCATACCTATTACAATTCCATCCAATTTTTGTAAATGGGGAAAAACATTTTTCACTGCTTGTAAGTAATCTTGACATTTGTTGTATTTTGCACATAATGGATTTCCATCCAACCAAAGTTCACTTATTTTAAATTCACTAAAGTAACGTAAATATTCCACATCTGCAATCTGATTGTGACGTAAATCTAATTTGGTCAAATGATAGTTGAAGAATTTCTCAAAAAGAATAATGGCTGTAATTTTATTATATCTTAAACTCAGCTCTCTAACAGGTAACCGTACATCACGATTATTGCTTAAAATTCCCATTTTAGTACATCTTAAAACAAAGTGTAACACTTTGGGTAAAGATATGGGACAGTATATAGATCCCAATGATTTTTCATTTTCAAAATCATCAAGATTTAGTACTTTTTTTGTAGGTTCATATCTATAATACAATGCTTGTGTTATAATTCTATTAGGATTCAATTGCAAATCCTGTGTGTCTGTATAGCCCAATACTATATCAATGTGTAATTCCTGGCCATTTGATAATGTTACGCATAAACCTTGCTTCACAAGATTTTCAATAGCACTGGAGGTACACTTTGCTAAGAAGGTACTTTTATTTGGACCTTCTTCCTTGTACATAACAGGCAATATTATTTCAGGTTCACAAGCAATAATTATACTTCTTAATACTTCTGTTGCTTTGTATTGTCCTATGCCAAACAAAATAAATTTGTGCCACAAGTCTTGACGTGATGCTAAGGATGATTCTTGAGTAGTAAATGATGGTTTACTGTGTGTCAATCTTAATGGCTCCCAAGCTGCCACATTTTCCACTACTTCTGTGTTTGCCATTATTCTTGATAGTGCAATAAATATTAATACTTCATAAAATTTATACTTTCACAATAAATAATGATAAAATATAAAATTGATTTATGATACAATCATGTGGTTTATGAAATTTATTCATAAATGAAATAGTTTTGGAATATTATAAATTGATTGCAATAAAGTAATAATATATAACTAAAAAGTAAATGCTTCTTTTATACATATCTTTAGGTGAATTGTTTCATGTGAGAAAAATTAGTTTAGAAGGAAACATCAGTAGTTTAGTGATTTGTATTAGGCATAAAACATATCTAATTTTTACTTCATTACATTTTTTACATAAATTTTTCACGCATTTTTATATCATCACGAAATAAACAAGAAAATGACTGATTATTTCCTTAAAAATCAAGCGATACTTAATTTTTAATTAATAAGTATAAACTCATAAGTAGGTTAAGTCACGTTCAAAGAAGCAAACATGTTGAATATATATTCAGATGGCAGCACAGGTATGACTCACAAGTGGGATGGGCGTTGTGAACAAATTTTTTAACGCGCTGTGTAATCAATTCTCCAATTAAAATAAATTTTTTAATTTACTGTAATCGTCAGATCAGATTTAATGATAAGATGACAAATGGGTTGCGTTTACTTTTATTTGCACTATGTTTTATTTGGCAAGGTGAGTAGTTTAGTATACAATCATGCATGTATAATCACTTGTAATGTGTATATGGTTGTTACAAGTTAAATCTTACTTTGTTAAAAAGTAGAAGCTCTATTTTACGTTGTTATAATTATAAAGTACAGTTAATTAATAACGTGTAATCCAATATGTTATAGAATTATATTTAACACTTTGTATTTTTTAATAAGATATTGTACACCACAACTTTATGTAATTTTCATGTTTGTTTTTTAGTTACACATTCCGTCCAGCAATCAAGTCGTTGTCAAATTCCACCAGTCATAAGAGGATCATGGTTTTCTTGGGAAAATGGCATGAAAACTTTAACAGAAATAAATGCTGACACCATGACAAATCGGGGCTCTTGTATTAACATGTTAGAAGAGCTTCATGTTAATTATACATTTGTATTTGGAAATAACAAATGTTACCATTGTGTAAAATTAATTGTTAGGACAGTAAATGTACTGGAAAAACTTGAAGGTGAAATAGCTATAACAAGTTTTTATAAATTCCTAACAAAAGCATATGTAATTTAAACCAATATTCTTATGTTTCAGCAAGTTGTGTAAATTTGCCTAATGATGTTGAGCCAACAGTGGAAAATGTTTGTAAAGGATTAAGACCTGACCAACAATTAATAACATTATTTTCAGAGAATTATGTTCCTGTAAATTGTAGATCATCTCTTGAGGGTGTTTGGCAGTTTGCTTATCAGGTATATATTTAACAACCTAATGAATCAGGTATTAAAGGAAGTTAATTTTTTTATTGTTATTACAGAATAGATTCAGGTTCACAGGAGAGTGCAATCATCCAGATGCACAAATCAAATCATGTCAAACTGCAGGAACACAATTCTTGATAACTAATCAAAAATTCAATATAACATATAAACAGTGTTCTGGTATGAAGGAGACTTTTGATGGAGGTAATATTGACAAATTGTTTATTATAAAATTTATATTTTATAATTCTAACATAGTTTTATTTATTTTAGTGGTGGAATATAGTTGTTTGGGAGATTGGTTTGTTGATAAAAATCACTTTTTCGCGGTTGCAAACACAAAAGAATCTCGAAAAGATGAAAAATACCGATGTTTCTTAAAAAATCGCGACGATGACCTTTTTATCGGTGTATCTATTACCGCAGAATGTAATACGTTAAAGACGGTTGAAAAAAGTCCAGAGCGTTTAAGGGTAACACCTGTTAAATCGGAGATCGTAGAACCAGGATGCAGATTACCGGAAGACATGAGCGGACAATGGATAAACACTGCTAATATTGATGCAGATATTTTCATTAATGAAACACATATCATTGAAACTTGGTATCCGGACGAAGGTCGTTACAGACGTACGATATATGTTTGTCGGGAAGCAAGGGATACCAGGGTGATGATGGCTAGATTAACTGTTGATGGATGGTATGAATTTTTAACATACTTAATGAGTATTATGCTTAAATAATTAATTGGCTTTCATTTTCAGCCAAAAAGATTACGTCTGTTTCGATTTCGTACGTCGACATCACAATATCATTAGATATCGGCGTGGCGTTGCAGTTATTAAAGATAATTTTCATACAGTTTGTTCTTGGGTTCAGTTTCCTAATAAGGAGGCGTGGAAATACGACTTATTCCTAGGTTAGTAAAGCATTTTTTTATAAGCACCTATATTTAGTTGGTTTCTGTCATCGATAATTTGTATATTTTTTAGCCAAGGATCCAACTCCAGTACGCTGTCCTGTGGCTGGTAAATACATGTTTATTCAGAAAGGAGATGTTTTGTTTGAAACCAGAATTTTAGGAGGTGTTACGTTATCTCCACGTCCAAATATTTATTGTAAACAGAACATTTCCGATTTTTCTGTATGCGACACTGACCAAAAAGAAATTGCCATTGACGAAACTTATTGCTTATCAGTGGATCATTTAGGAAGACCTGTAGATATCTACAGTAAGTTTAAATGGTTATGGTAATACTAAGTAAGATTATACATGTTTTACATTTCATTTTAAATACATAGGTCTACCGGATTACAAGATGAAATGTATTGGATTTTGGAAAGAAAATTTAAAGTCATATTTAATAACGTACGACGAGTTAGATCCGTTTAGTAAGTATCGTTGTTGGGTATACCAAAGAGCAGATTTAAACAGAGTCCTCATGTCTCAAGCTATTGGGCCATTCTGTGATCTTAAACAAGATGTTACAAGCAGTAATTATACTGAAGGTGCTGCAGTCGCGTTAGAGTTACAGGTAATGCTAAATAATTTCATGTACTTTTTTGAATATATTAGTTATAGTTCAATGCAAAATTTGTAATTTAGGAATACGAAAGAGAACGCGATCAGTGTCCAATGTACTTCGACGATGGAAGTAATCCTTGGGTAGTATCTGAGAATTATATAAAAATATTTAATTATGGTAACGGGGGTACAGAAACCTTGCCGTTATATCCGTCCGTGTTGTTGACAATTAGCATAGTTTATACATCTTTGATTAATGTATGTTAACACAGTATGTTAACATTTTTATCATGGTAATTCACTTCATTTTAAAGATACTAGCAAAAGTATTAACTAGATTTACGATTTTAGCTACTGATTTTTTTCATTTTTATATATATATATTAATTCCGTCCATTTTCTATACATACGTCCATTTGACTTGAATAATTATACACTGAATACATATTTACATAATGCACTTATGTACTGTAGATTGTATACTATAAAGAGATGTATATTGTAACATAACACTGTAATTTTATGTATGTTACAATGAGGTAAGTGCATTAAGAAATGTGCCTTTTATGCTCGTATTAATCAAAAGCATAGTCATAAGTTTTAGAATTCCATCCAGTTTATTATTTTTTACAAAGTTTAATGATATTTTTTTTTATAAATATTTGCAATAGAGTACAACTTTGTATAAGGTTAAATGTTAGTTTTATATTACACTATTTATGTTTACATTATATAAATAAAGTATCCTACAGAAAAAAATTTATTTTGTCCAGCTAACTTTTGGTATGTCAAAGTGCTCTGTTAAACTATCCAAATGTCTGTTGAACTCTTCAACCCGTTGTTTGTGTGTCATTGAAGCCTTCTGTTTTATCCGTTCAGTTTGCTGAAAATAACATTATACAGTTAAAAACAATGCAAATATCATAACAAAAATAATTGCTTACCATTTTTTCTTGCATTTTTTGAAACGCTATTTCAGCATTTGTTCGTTTCATTTCTGTGGTTTTAGATTCCTCTTCTTCTCCAATTTTCGTCACTTCCACTAATTTTTTCTTCTTACCTTCTTTATTCTTTTTTCTATTTTTGAATAAATAACAAAGATATTAATTAACAAGTGTGAACTGTTAAAAGTTAATGTATGAATATTGAGGTACGGAAGAGCTGTCAATATTAGCATAATTAAACATAACCTAAAAATCAAACGTCACATACTTTTTACTCACTCCTTGATCATTTTTAAGCTTCAACAGTCCCTTTGCTGCATGTGCATAGGGATCATCGTCGTTTGTTGAGGGCATGCTAGTTTTCTAAGTAATTATTTCCTTATAATTTAATATCACTATCTTGTACGCAACCTTGTCGCGTCTTCGGCTTGTACACAAACTATGCAGCATAACAAATCAACTTTACGGGAGTAAATCGATTCTCGACAAAATGCATAATCGATTGTGCTATGACGTCATACGTATTGACCAATAAAATTTCTTCGTTTAATAATTTTAAATAGCTTAAAGTTTTATGTCAATGTTTTAAAAACATACAGTATTTTATTATTTTTATTTATCAATGATAATAAAGATTCTTTCAAAGGCAAGCTTCCATTTAAAAAATGGATTACATCATTTTATTCTTCTTCATATATATATATGTGTATATACATAACACAACTGTCATATTTTAAGGATCATAATAAATTGGTATAATATTGTTAATAATTCTCCATTAATTATACAAGTTTACTTAGCATCATATTCGTGTACATATAGCAATCAATTGTTCGTAATCTCTATGCCGTGATATATTAATCTTAATTAAATAGTTCCAAAAATGTGTACTATACGATAATTGATATTATTTTGCGCTTTTATTCGTATCATCATCTCTACATTAACCGTTAAATGCTATTTTCTTTTGATGATTTTAAGTTAGAACAACAGCACTGTTACTTAAACTGATTATCTAAAAACACAATATAAAAAATTGTTACTTATTCCTAAGGTGCTTGCAGGATGTATGTGTCTTGTTATCATTCGCATGAGCATATTTGGTTTAAGCATAATTTCTTTGTTTTTTTTTTCTTTTTTTCTTTTCATTAAACTTTCTATGAATTTTATAGGTTTGAACAGAGAACAGCTAAAGCTTGGATTTAAAAAAAGATCTACAATAATGGATCAATGAACCCAGAATAAAATCATTGCTGAACACTCTCTTGCACGTTTGATCCCCATTCTATTAATATCTTGGGCTTTTCGATAAGAATGTATGAGAACATAAAATTTGTTACAAGTATTAACGAACACCACTTCTAGAATGTGCTATAAGCCACTGTAATGTTATATCAATATTGTCTTTCTCTTTGCATGAAATGCTATAGCAACAGATCTCACGGTCTTGAATGGCAGATAAGTTCCTGAAAAAAACATTTATGTTACATACATCTATTATTTACCTACTATTTTAAAAAATTCTTTTAAATTTACACACATTCTTTCTATAAGTCCATTTTCATCCAAAGCATGATGTAAATCCCTTTTGTTGCCAAGAACCAACACTGGTATACCAGACAATTGAGGTTTATCTAACAAATTGTGTAATTCATTGCGGCTTGCTTCTATTTTCTCAGAATCAGCTGCATCTACCATATATACTATTGCATTTACTCCTCTGCAATATCTTTCCCACATAGATCTAAACCTTGGTTGACCACCAATATCCCATACTTTTATAGTGACATTGCCTTTTGTTATTTTGCGCATGTTGAAGCCAACAGTGGGAATCATGTCTTCGCTGAATTGTCCTGACTGAAAGGAAAACATGTTTTACGAAAAAACAATCGTTTAGTTGTAAGATTAGAAAGCAAAAAAAATGGCAAAATACGGAATAAAAAATATTTCACAACAATAAATGTATTATCATGAAAAAACAGATATCTAATCTTATAGAAAACTGTTTATCATTTAAATCTATGTAAAGCAGAAATATGATAAAAAAATCAAGGTTTACTTTCCAACAACATGACTGCAAAAATACATTTTTTCGAGTTTTTATGTTAGGGCGGATGCAAGGTTTACATCGATGACCAAGTTACCTCGAATGAGGTATAGAATCTAACCAAAACGTTGCACGTTCTGTACTTTTATTGCAGCGAATCTTAATAGTTGACCGACGAACGAACGCACAATTTACGGTATATTCCATTTAGTAAGATCCATAATAAAAGTACGGATCGTTAAGTTGCAGCAACAAAGGAAAATTTTCGTACCGCTATAACATTCACGAAGGTGGTTTTCCCACTGTACTGCAAGCCGACAAGGGTGAGTTCCATTTCCTCTTTCCAAAAGAGGGATTTAAACCAGTCCAAGATCCGATTGATGAGGGCCAACATTTTGTATTTGATCGGAGAAAATCCAGCTCCACCGGTAGAAAGTACAGTTAAAGTACGCCGCTCACTGGCTTTGACATGTAGTCATTTGCACTCGAATGCGACGTCAGTTCGTCAGCTCCGAAGGTATGTACCGCGCTAGTCAGTGACTGGCGCTGACTAATCGCGCGGCACTGGTGTTTGTGGTGCGACACAAGATGTTACACGAATTTATCTCATGTAAAACCAATAAGTTGCGTATTAAACAAGTTTATCGTGGATACTAGCGGATGGTGTCCAAGCGATCTTGACAGTTCGGGCATTGACGTACAGCAGAAGATGTTGCAGCGACTCTCAACTTGATGTTACTCGCATTTCATACTTGGGTTAATTCATAATTCACTGATCGAAACACGTTGGCGACCTCTGTTTAGTTTTCCAACAAGTAGTAATACTTTTTCGCTTCCATATGCGTTGTTACATGTATAATTTTACGTCTTTGTAAAATTACACGTCCAATACGGTACAAATTTAAATTTATACGGTAGCATGAAATCGGCGTGTTTCTACAAGTACATAAATGTACGTGTTTTGACTTTGAAGTATTTTCTATTATTTATGTTATTGACGAACAGTGGAGTCTGTTTTTTACATAAAGTCATTGTGAGTAATAAATGTTAGTACATCGGAAGGCAGTAATGACCGTTATTGTAGATGTACGAGATGATCGCGGTAGCTGATTCTGGACATTTCAGGTTGCTACGTAGCTATATTGTATATGCGCAGTAGTTCTCAACTTTCAAACTGGATTTACGAAGAATAAAAATTTCTGATTTTAGTTATCAGTATTTTAATAACGGTAATTTATCGTTCGGTTTATGATTATCGTATATATTTTTTGCAGTTTGCGTTTTTGTTTAGTACATTAATGTTCCTAGGTTGTTCACGTTACGATTCTTTAAATATTCTAACGTATCGGTTGAGAACTATCGTTTAAGCGACGGAAGAAACACGAATGCATCCTGCATTTATACGAATGTGTGAATGCATCCTGCATTTATACGAATGTGTAAATGCATGTTAAAAAGAAGTGCTCTTTCTTTGTCGTCGGTTAATTATCGTTACAGAATGTTTGTACGTTTGGATCAATTTAAGTTTCAGCAATTTCTACTCTTACCGATACTGTAATAACTGTATTCCGATCTTTCATTTACTTTCTTCATGCACTACTGACCTACGAGACTGTATTTGCTGGTTGCTGATTATAGTCTTGTTTCTTATCTATGCAAGGGAAAAAGGAATTTGGAATGGAATTAAATCTACGTTGCATATATAGAACGATTAGGTTCAATTAACGTACAATTTGTAGGATAGATTAGAGCTCTGAAGATGTTGTGTTCGTCTCTGACTACATATAATTTTGCATTTAATCTCTGTTTACTTCGTATGGTGTATACGTCACACCTGCGCACATTCCACCGGTTGGATTTTCAGTTGAAGATTAACATTGTAAATAAATAATAAACAGCTTCCTTTATTTTTTTCTTTTTTTTTTTCACAAAAGATTAATCGAGTGGGCAGGTTTTAATAAAATTTGAATCTTGTCAAATATAACACAATTGTAAAAGTATACGATAACATATTGTATCTTAATCCCAAGGAGAGGTAAAAAAAGAAATACTCGGAATGTTCTCGAACTGTTCCATTATAAGGTATTGGTAACGTTTCAAGTTCTTCACTGAGGCAGAAATTATTGTTCTATTTAATTAGTTCCCTCTTATCTGCATTCCTCTTTTAGCTGTACTTACATCGACATATTGCTTAAAGAGTAGACTCTAATAAATTATTCGAGGGGTGGGGACAGGGAGGGAGGGAAAATTGGCTTGTCGAATCACTTTGTCAGACCAAAAATAAAATTTCAACGATAGCTTCGACATTTGTAGAATTCGTGTTGTCGTGAAATTTCTCTTTCTAACCTTAATATTAAAAAAAGAAACGGTGAAACTTCTATAAATTATGCCGCGTTTAATACAAGAACGAGCCGTATGCCAAAAGAGGACTTGAGCAGGAATTCGTATTGCTGTCTCTCTTTTGAAAAAAAAAAAAGAAAAAGAAAAAAAAGAGCAAACGACTCGAGGGATGTTCGTTACTATCGCTTTTTAGCTCTTCTACAAGTGTTACGTACGTAGCCGCGATTATACAAAACAATCATTAGTCTCGGTGAAAATTTTTTGTTTCACGTTTGGTGTTTTCTTTTTGTTCTCTTTTTTTAACAAGTTTTTATTCGTAATATCTAGATGTAGATTCGTATATAAATTATCATTATGCGCACGGTACTTCGCGTCACCTGACTATTCACATTTCCCTCCCTTTCCCCCATATACATATATTTCGTTCTCACGATCTTTCTCGCGCGTGGCACAATGAGTGTTATTTCAATTTTTTTGTTTTTTTTCTTTCCTTACGACAGTACAAAACTATCCTACCTATGTACAGGGTGTACGAAACGTGCAAAGCGAACGAAACACAAAGTGGACATTTTGTGTGCACATCAATCGTATCATCATACTACCCGATCACGTCTGTGGTACAAAGTTCGAGAATCGTATCTTAATTGCTGTTATTACGTAGGTAGATATACAAAGAATCTTTCTCAAAGCGTACAAATGTCTGAAGTTCCCGTTTAAAAAATCTGAGCAAATATCGATGATACCGATGTTAACTTCGCATATGCGCGATGCGTGCAGAATTTAACGAATGGATCCTACAATCACAGATCTCTTGTCTAGAAAAATACAAGTTGTCTGTTAGAATAAATTTGTGCGGAATTCGAGAAACTTGATCTTTTATGCTAAAAAATATAAACGTCCCCAGATTCTTCTCTAACATTCTTCTAATAACAGTTTCAACAACAATGACGGTGTATAATTTTGCGGTTTACATAGAAAAATTGGTAAAAAACCGGTTGATTAATTCGGCATTATTTGACGGTGCGTTCTTGAATCGAAATGTCTTAATGTCTAGATCACAAGCGATACGACGAAATATTTCGGTAATCACAGCTCTGACATTGGTGACCGCGTTACAAAAAACGAAACGCGATTCTCTTGCTTTTCGTTAACGAGTCTCCGTCGGTAAGATCATCATCGAATGTATCGTACGATGATCGCGCGTAATCGTCAGAACATCCTGGATATTAAGGCACAACAGATTGCTCGCAAGGCACGGATGACGCTGTTCTCTTGTCCCCTAAAGGATCGAACGTTCGGTGAGACGAAAACGTGAGTTTCCTTTGCTTTGCGCGGCTTCGCGATGCCTATAATATATAGTCGGCGTAAAAGCCAATCAGTGAAAAAAAAAAAACCTTAAATATACACATCCTTTTTCTACTATACATTTTCTCGATTAGAATCGTTAAATCATCCTTATCGAACGATTTAGTAGACGATCTTACATTTTAAATGATTAGTTTTGTACAATTTCTTCATTTCGCATCTCTTTACCACTTGCTATTTTCATTTTTTTTTTTCTTCCTTTTCTTTCTTTTCTCTTCGAAGTTCGAACTGAGTGGCTTTTGAGTCGAACATATCGAATAGGTGATGTATTTTATGTACAATGCTGAATAATGGTACACCGTGCGTACGACTGCCGCGCAGATAAAGTACCTCCCAAGATCGAATATGCATCACGAAGTAATTTCCATGCACGGATGGATGCGCTTTTGCACGCGAGGACGAACGATTCTGTAGAATTTACAAAGAATTTCACAAATACGTCGGTATGGTCCAATGCGCGTATTTCTCGGCAACGACAACGTTACACAAACAAAAAGAACTAAAATTGTAACGATCAAGGAATATCGGATCGGTAAACGTTCGTAAAAAATAAAATAATACACGTTCTACCAATGATTACTTTCTTGTATTACATTTACATTTTCCCCCGTGATTCTTCACCATTTCTGTCAGATCGGCGCGTTGAAATCTTTGTGAAATTGAATTCTACGTACACAGACCGCGAATTTAAGCCTAGTTTCCGCGGCGTTTACGTAACCCCGTGAAACTTGACATGAAAGTGCGTGGACTGTGCACGCACGATAGATCGGTCCAATTAAGGTCACCAGTTCTCGAATAAGCAATAAACCGTGAATTTTCTAACACCCGGGCTAGGGGGATCTTGATTAAAAATGCAAAAGTGATCTTCCCGAATTACGTAATCAGATAACGGCCGGTGGCATTGTTACGTAATTTGATCCAAGACTCACCGTTAACTCTCTTATATAATTCCTTGTTTTTATATAATCTTTGAGTCGCGCACGCGCAAATTGATGACAGTAAAAACATTTCGCGGGTTGCTATATCGTCGTGGGCTATTTGAAAAAATTATGTAAACCGAAAAGTCTCTTCTAACAATATATGTATATATATATATATATACACACATAGTGTATAAATATAAATTTATGAAAAATCTAATGAAACGTGACTGGGGAGGGGGTAACGGAAACCAGCAAGGCAGTTTCACCTGGTCTAAAAGGAAGGTGAGTCGTTTTTTTTTTTTTTTTTGGTTTTTTACCTACGGGTACCGAGACGCGTTGAGGAAACTCTGCAATTTCACTATGATTAATGAAAAAACAATTATTCCTCGATTACTGTTCGGTGTGTGTATCGTAATACAATGGGATTACCATGGATGGTAATGTAGCGACAATGCAAACTATACCTACGTTCTACATGTTTTTACAGAATTTTTCTCTACATCCCCGTTTCATCCCGAGATCTTATCGTGGGATGATGTAGGTCGATGGAATCTCAACGGTCCACGCGGAATACAACGGCACAGCGCAAACGCATGGTGTTCTTTTTTTTCTGTTTTCGACCAGACGAGTTACCTTGTCGATCGTGGCAGGTGTACGTACAGCGAACCGTACGACGATCACGAATACCTGAATCGCGACGCCAAGGATCCGTGACATTGAGTCGCGACACATCCGGGTGTACCTTGGTACGTTCCTTCGTACTATACGTATATACGATATACGTATTTCTATCACTCCTCTCTTTCAACTCTCTCTCTCTCTCTCTCTCTCTCTCTCTCTATTATTGTCTCCTTTTTTTACGAGTATACACGTTGGCAACGTGTTTCATAAAGTACGGAGTAATTTTGTACTGAACAAAGCTTTAACTTCGTTGGACCCGAAATGGATCGCGGTGGATTGGACCGAAAGAGTGAAAGAGCGAAGTCCAGATGCGATTGGAGAGTGTATCGATGAAAATAGACGAGATGAATTGATGATGGCTACGACGTAGCGCGATCAGGTCACTCGGTACTCGTGTATGTTTTTCGAAGATTCAGCTCCGACGCGGCCAAGCTGTCTCCTTTCACGTAATAATCCGCAGCGTCCCTTCTTCCCGACGATTTGCCGGTCGTAGAACCGTTCGTCACACCGTTCGCTTGATAATTCTGATGATGATGTTCCTTCTTTACACCGTTAGCGATAGGTCGCCTCTTCTGTTGGTAGCTCTGTTGATAGAATTCGTTGAATAGGAAGAAGAACATTGTCGCGTGTAGACCGATCAACCAGACGAAAGCCTTCGGGTAATTGCAGTCAATGAAGAGCAGCTGGAACGCGTGGATCATCACTAGGACGAACTGAACCATCTGGAAGACGGTCAGGTATTTCTTCCACCACAGGTATGGTTGTACTCTTGGTCCAAGCGCGGCCAACAGGTAGTACGTGTACATGACGATGTGCACGAACGTATTCAGCAGACCGAAGAAAGTCGAGTGACCGCCTGGAAAAGAAGAGATCACGCAGAGGTGTTTTTACCAAGTTTAGATCGAATCGTTTCACCACCGAACGTTATAGTAAAGAGATTTCGCCTACCAGGTGTGAATTTAACGCCGAACCACACTGACATTGGCATGCAACCATGGTGAATAACGTGCAATGTCGACACGTGATCGTTCTTCTTCCTCAAAACGAAGAAGATCTAGAGGACGACGTGGGAACAATGTGGCAATTATTTATCGTATTATAACGTTAGGTATTTATAGCTCGGTAGATTGAACGTACTTACCGTGTCCATGAATTCCGTAAATTTCGAGAAGTAATACCACCAACAAGCGTGCACCATCTGTGTTTTGCAAAATATCGATTAGATAATTTTCTCCTGAACGTTACTCACGTTACGACGAAGGGGAGCAAATCCTCGGAGGTAGAACGTTTCTCGTGGAAGATCTCATACGTTAACGATCTCTAAAAGAATCACAATCGATCGATCGCTCCAAAGATTTGCTCTTGACAGATTTACGTCGATGGACACTCGGTAATTATCTTTTTTCTCTTTTCTCTCATCGTGTTACGAGTTAATTGTAATTATCGTTGTGTAAGTGATGGTTGTTTCAAATTTTTTGTTTCTCTACTTTTTCTAGTTGTAGTCTGTTAAGTGTTAATTGCATAAAGCGATCTACATCGAAGTGTGTTAGCTTGCTAAATTAACTACGACGTTCTCAAATAGGTACCTGCTACTGGAAAAAACATAATGCAAGGGTGGTACTGTTACGAGTAGTGTGGAGTAGTGTAGAGTAGTGAATCACACTGATAGAAGACGGTAAATGACGGCGTGAATTACGAGTGTTTATATCGAAATAAAGAAAAAAAGAAATTGAAAATTTTCAACTTGTCCGAATCACGAATCAGAGAGTATTCGATGTTGTAAATATTCGTGACAGGGGTACCGGTGGTTTAATCGATCGTGTAGCTGGTTTAGTGTAATGTTTGCGTGTTAATGGGGAATATCACCCACCCTTAGTACTTGGGGTCGATCGCTGTAGTCTACGGGTTGACACCTTAGAGAATAGTCGCCAGTCAGCCATCCGGACATTCCTATCTGCAACCACAACCGCCCAGGGGCCATTCTCCAATCATTGAAAAGAATAAACAAATGAAAGAGGAAGGCATAGAGAAAGAGGAAAGGGTCTCGCGTGCAAGCATCGTGACCAATGCTCAGCTTACGCATTCATTTTCACCGTTGATTATCGCCTTCCTCGGAAGACTTGGATTCGTCCTTTTATCCTCTGATACACTATTCTACTGGAAGGGAGAGAGTTTTCATGCAGTCAACACATAGACAAGATACCTGTGCGAAAATAATACGAACATGCAGATACAGTGGTGCGATAGAAAAAAGATGAAATGAAAGCTACAAGCGTTTCTAACGTAGTCTACTCCTTCGCAAGTTGTTTGCTCCCAAACAAGTGTCTAGAAAGCATGGAACAATCCGTGTGATAGCGTACTTCTTCAGCTTCTACAAGAGTCCAAGAATGTTGGAAAAAATATGTTTTATCGTCGAGTTATGCGTATACAGGGTGAAACTTGTCGAACAAACGTCGCAAGTCTGACCGTATTATTATCCAATTGGTCGCCGTGCATTTTCATAAGTATACGCATAAATAACGAATAAAAGAATTTGCTATTCGTCGATGTCCATCTGGTCGAAGCGACGGTCGGATAATCCATCTGCAGAACAGATCTACGAACGTAACTTACCCTCATCGCGACCTGGTTGTTGCTATAGTCCACGGGCTGGCAACGGAAATTATATTGGCCCCACCATCCGCCCATCAGACACTGTTTTTTTGTCAAAATTAACGTTTTATCTGGTGCTTTGTTCCGCATCGAATCGAAAAGCTTGTTCGATCGAGCTCGAAATACGTTTCGTCGATCGTAATTCACGTCGCGTTACGTATCAAATGGTATTCTCGATTAATCGACGGAGACAAAATTTGTCAAGCAGAGACGCATAACGCTCTGCGTGAGGTTCGTATTGTTAAAGAAGTCACGTAAACGTTTATAGACCCGGTCGTTTCGCAAATACTAATTAACCGTGTGCCATTGATACCTGGTACGCGGCGATTTCGAACTCGATGACTCGGCCGGACGTTCGATATTTTATATCTATAGTAAAAATGGCTTCTTTGCCAAGTGACAATATTTAACGCGAGTATATTAGAGCGCGTGTCTGCTTTTACGGACACAATGAGATCTCGTACATACGTACATATATATATTGGTGCATGCTGAGGAACACATTCTCGAATCGGCCAGGTCATGCAGTGAAGACAACGCGTATACTCGATACACAACAGGTACACATACATACATATAGGTAAGAGGGCAAGAAGAAGAGAGAAAGGAGGAAGAAACACGAAGCGGGACACGCGAACGGAGATGTTACCTCGTAGAATAGCCACGTGGAGAACAGCATTTGGAACATATTGTAATATATCAGGGCATTTTTAAGCTGAAACGGCTTCCTGTTCTCCATCAGCTTTGGCCCTAGAACCTTTACGGCGTAGATATAGCCCATGCAGATGAACATGGTGGGAAACGGTGAACTCATCAAGAACCAGTTCGTTGTTCTTTGATCTGGAAAAAAAATGTCTCTTATGCACATTCAGGCAGAACAATCTTTGCTTGTTTTGCAACACAAATATTTGCCTTGCTGAATTTATCAGCAAAAAATGTCCTTCGTTGGTAGGAAGAAATTTGCATTTTCGGAATTTCGAAGAGAACCAGTCCTCGGAATTGACATGTTAATTTGTCGGGGAATCGGGTAGGAGTGTTTAGAGAGGAAGTTGGTGGGTCTCGAATTTATCTTCAGCTACTCGGAAAGTGACGTTTCGTCGGCAGACGCCCCGTAGCGTAACAGCCTCGACCTTGAGATCTCTTCACGCAACATTCTTCCATACCCTTCTCGTCCTTCGAAAGTTCAATCAACTATCGCGTCCTCGTATTAAAACCAGTTGTAGAATTCGTTTCATTAACTCGCCCCTTGGCGGTTTTAATGGCCGACCGACCTTGACGTGTTTTCGTCGCGTTCCCTACGGGTCCCTGAAACTAAACCCGCTACACGCGAAAGGTCGAATATCTCGGATATCTGCTTTGCTGCTAAGAGACGGCTAAAAAAATGGAAGAGACGCTGGAACGACTGGAGAACTACAATTTGATATTTGCGCGTTTACACGGCGGAGACGGTTTGAAAAGAAGAAAATCTTCGTCGAGAGAGAGAGAGACTGGCGGCTGCTTCCCCAGCGGCCACGTGAAATGAATAATTCATTTTTCGATGCAGCGGTAGCTGCACCACGACGAATCACGTTTGCTTAACCACAATGAAATTTCACGTAATTCTACCCTCCCTTTCTGCCAGTGCGCTCATCGAAATCTCCGATTCTCCGTGCTTCCCCGTTCTCGTCACGGCCAGAAATTCGGTTGAACGATTCTCGATTCTCCGATCTTTTCGCTTATTTCTCTGTTGTCTCGTTGATCCTTGAAATTTTATTCCCGAAAAACAACAAAGACGAAAGGATATATTTCTGGACGACATTTCTGACGGTCTCTGCGTTCGAAACTAAGCAAGTGGTAACGCCGAAGGACTTCCTCGCGAGTGTAGAGAAGTTGTGGAATTCCCTACAGTCGATAATTTTGCAACGTTACCACCTTACAGACCTCGTTTGGCCGAGTACGCAGGTGTGTACGCCGCGAAACTAATTTCAATGCTAATACCAGGCGGGATTGCGCGAACACGGATTCTCACTTTAACGTATCTGCCATGGAGAACTCTTGATCCAGTTTCATAGTCTATTTCGCGGTGTATTTACACAGGCGTGTATTTATCATAATTAATGTAAGAAGATCTACCGACGTCGAACGATTCGACCGACGCCTGTTCCGTCATTTGTCTCCCTCGAAACGACTATTCGAATTATTTCATCGACGGAAGGATGTTGCTTCTGATAAAAATAATCAAAGATGCGTGAAATCCGCAGACAAACGCGGACAAACAGGACAGAGTTGAGGTGGAGAAAAGAACGAAAGCAGAAAGACGAGAACAGCTTGGAAGAAGAGAGAGAGAGAGAGTCTTTCCTGTTCCTGCTTAATAAATTCGCGTCTAGTCACCAGCGGCCAGTGATCGTCCCTGAGATATTTCTCAATGTTTAAGCTCCGTTCACAAGACGCTCGAGCTGTCAGAGAGATTTTTGCACGGATGTTCTGCGTATTCGTAGGTCTTGTTGCACGCTTACCTGCATGTTTGTCAAGTATCTCGTGGAGCCTGTCCACGTACTGCATTACAATCGACATTTTTCTTGCTTCTGCCTTTCCACGTCAAAATCAAGGGCGCAGATCTCTACGATCAGATCTGCGGGTTCCTGAAACAATCAAAGGTGAAAAGTAAACGGAGGAATTTTCAAGGTGAATTGAGAGAACAAGGGTTCGTTAAGGAGAATAAGCAAACACGGAAACAATGTTTAACCACTTAGCGCGCTACTTAACATCGAAAAGCAGTCGTTTTTCCATTTTTTCTTACTCCAATTCGAACTCGTACATAGTTTACTCGAGTAAGCGGGAAAAAGGAAACTTCTCGAGTACGAGTTAACTCGGTCGAGTGCGTTAAAGGGTTAATTGTCACGTTTTTCCTATCGACGAAGATTTACTATTTTTCACAGACAGATAAGTCTACGTATATTTTAGCAACGATCTTATCTTTCGTTTTATCTCGATAAGATTCACGAAGGCGCGTTGGTTGGCTAATTTCTATCGGGATGGAAAAAAGGGAAGAGAAGATCGGATGTGTTTAAACGGGATGTCGTGGAAACGTGTAAAGTCAGCTGGCCGACGAACAGACGGTTTCCAACCAAGTTCTTTTGTTCCACGCGCGAACGAGGGCGTATTACTTAACGCGGCGCGGCGTAGAGTAGAGGCTGCCCGGCCGGTTACATAAATGTCGCCGATTTGTGTCATGATTTTCGGCGTCGGCATTGAATTAGAAGCGATTTCGCGCGCTCCACCAAGATTGGCCCGATTCGAAATTCACCGCTGTACTTTCGCTTACGAAAGTGGACACATCATTTTTGTTATGGATTACACGCCGCGACCGTGCGGTCTCGCGCAACTCACGCTCCGACCATGAATCGGCCACGGCCTTGAACCACTACCAATGGTGATTCTTACAATTTTATCCACGATAGACGCTCCAAACTCCTACACCTCGTCAATTCAATCTTACCGAGAGTTTTCGAGTGTTTTACGTTTAGAGGACGAATTAACGTTCCGGAGATTAACGTCTTCTTGTCTTGTAACAGCGAGTCGATTAGGGTCGACTATGAGAAAAAGATTGGGTATATTCGCGAGAAATGTTTCGGTGAAGTGAAAACGCTCTGCTGAATACTGCAAACCTATGAAATAGCTAACTTTAATACACACTGTCTTTCGTAAATATTAAGACACCCGTTATGTTTCTACAGAAAGTACCGTACGATTAGATTTAGTACCGTTACATTGATGCACTATTAGGGCACTATTTAGGTTCTCTTTTTGGATCTTAAGTACGAAACTTAAGAATCAAATGAATTTAGGCTCGTTACAGTTACATTAGAAAATCCCAAGATGAATATACTTTTGTGGATCTTAATAATTTAGTAATGCCTGTTTAGATTCGTTTCACATTCACCAAGTGATCTGATACTCGTTACAGTTACGTTATAAAATCCCAAGACGAATAATTTCTCTTGGAAAATATTGATCTGATTTTTTATGTAGCTACACATTTATATTCATGTTAAATCGATAGCAATCGAACTACTTTCCTTAGGAGATTTTTCCAGATTTCGGGAGACTGTGTTTTTCATATTTTCTCTATCGCAAATATTGGAATTTTCGGAAAATCTGAAGGTGTTCTGAAGAGGTTAATAATTCCTAACGACTAATCAGGCTCATTTCACATTCGGTAAATACTCACGAGCAAGAGTTCCTTGAAAAAAAGTCCTCTCTTCCTCTAAGAAAATAGTCTAGGAATAAGCGTGCGCTGCAACGACACCGTCGACCGTAATCGCGAAGACGAAGGTTCGAAGTGGCGCGTGTGATTCGTTAGTTATTCGCCGAAACTATTTTCCCGCGAACTATCTGGAGGACGCGGAACAGGAACGGCATTAGAGAAGAAGATGCCGTGGGTGCTGGCGATGATTAATTTCGTCCCTGAAACACACTGGCCGACAGCACAACGTGTGTGTCCACGCGTGTATACGCGTCCACCGTGTTGCGTTGCGCGCACTGTCCGTGTGCCGCGAACGCGGTTTGGTAACCCGTTGAATTTCGCTTTCAATACAACTCGGCCGGCGAGAGAATTCTCGTCAAGGCCAATCGACGAACGGACTTGAATGGGTGTCGTCATTTATCATCGGCCAGCAGCCGGTCACCGATTTGTACACGGACGTGGGGAGTCTTCGAGGCACTACCTTCGCCGTCTTGCCCTTCCTCCTACTCTCGTCGCTTCGACAGGAGAAGAAAATCACATCGAGTCTCGCCATTAACGCGAGCCAAATTTCGGAGATCTTTTCTGTGTAAATACGAGGATCATCGGGCACAGCTGCTATCTTTCAATTCCTGTTAAGTGTGCCCTCGGTTGGAGGCGCTTGGAGTAATTTGACGAGAGAAAGAAGGATAATGCTCGAAGGAACGTCCTTCTATCGAGTTTCGATGTGTGGTAGAGTAGCAACGATTTTCGTGCCAAGTAGGATGAATCGTGGATCGGTCGGGGGTCCCAGCCGCGATGGATCGCGATCGCGCGACCTGATCGACTCGCTCGCTTGCAAAACGAAAACTCGAAAACGCGCCGAGCAAGCGAAATACCTCGAGAAATATATTGCGAAAACTGTATACATTATAATGGGCCGGGCGCAGAAAACGGGCCAGCAGTTGTGTCGTCTCTGTTGTGCGTATACGTTACGCAAGGAATCGCTCGCTCGTGCCCGCGCTCTCCAACCTCTCCTCTCCGTGTGTCTCGAATCGTCATTAACGATAGGATGAACAAATCACCGACCTCAATATTTTGTCCAGGCTAAATGTTTCGATTCACCGGCAACAATAAACCGCGGGGCGAACCACCGTTTGCCAATTAATGCATCACCATCGCTCGATCTGCCTTCATTTGCATACACCCAACGATACTTGACCAATTTTCTTTCTCTCCCTTCCATCTTTTTTCCAACGACAATGATCACACCGATGATCCTCGATCTTTTCATAGAACGTTACGGTATTCATGTGTACCGTTCGCTACATACTCCTCGAGTTATGGAAACCGACGACATCCGGCATTAACGCCTTTCATTTCAACGATCAGAGCGCGAGAGTGGAAAATGGCTAAGAGTACTACCACAGCCGGTGTTTAAAGTTCCGATAAGATCCGTCGAGAGGCTGTTTACGCTCTGCGTTTATTCTCCGCTCAGGTGACTGTTTCGAGAAGGGCGATTTCCTGTCGCGAAAGGGGAAACTGTTCCGATGCTCGCCGATTGGCAGGTTTAGATAACACAGCTAGTTAGATATAGATTGATGTTATCGGCGGAATCACGTTGAATAAATGATCGATGCAGCACCAGGCATTGTGACACTGTTACAAACTGTAATTGCACAACGACACGTGACCTATCATAGTATATAGACTGTTAATTGCTGGAAGGTGTCGGATCCCGTCAAGGTTGAGAGCTCGGTAGATAAGTAAAAGGTGGAGAGGCATACGAAATTGAGGCGTTTACACGATGCCACCGAGAGAAATACAATTCGCGGGTTTATTCCTGACGGAGGAGCTAGCGTGCGAACTTGTCGGATTTCTTTCACAAACACACACTTTTCATCGATACACCTAGTATGTGAATTATAGGCGTATAGCTCTATTAGGTACCTTTAATTTGTTTAGGTTACGTAGGAACCTTAATTTGTGTTCTATATGTTTATGGTATAGGCGAGTATGCCTGAATGTATAGTTGCATTTGGTTATCTATGGAAGGTTTAAAGGTACCTAGTTAGGGTACCGTTTAAGGTTGTGGCAGGTACTTTAATGGGTATGCGTAATAAACTTTAACGTTGTTCTATTTGTTTGTAGTTTAGGTAGGGCAGGCTTATCGTTACATCTAGTGGGTGAATTATAGGCGTATAGTCCCCTATTAGGTACCTTTAATTTGTTTAGGTTACGTAGGAACCTTAATTTGTGTTCTATATGTTTATGGTATAGGCGAGTATGCCTATATGAGAATGTGTTATGCTACTTGGTGTAAAATCGATACAATAATCCCCTATCTACAGTAATGGGAATGTTAATCATTCAACCGGTTTATTGGCCCGCGGGGAATTAGATCGCAGCTTTTTATCGACGTTCCACTCGTCAAATATTCTACTTGCCCGTGGTCACGAAGGTGTAACCAGTTGAAGAAAAAAGGGGACAGCTAACCTGGAGATTCACCATATATCACGGCGTTACGTAAAATACGATCTATTTGCAATTCGAATGAGTGGCAACAGATGGTGAGAAATAACTAGCCATTTCTCCTTAGAGATTCATAACCGAGCTTATCCACGCCGAACATCTTTCGTGTACATTTCCAAGTATCTGCGATAATCGTTGCCCGCGACATATCGTGTTCACGTCGCGAAAAATTCACTTTCACGCACGGAGCCTGGTTTTGCGGGGAAAACTCCTCGATTCGAGTTGTGAGATCATTGCTCATATATCCCAGTGACACAATCGATATTTATACCGGCGAATAGTCTCCAACGCGACGTACGGATAATTACGTTGCATACATACATATCGAGGCATGAAATTCGTTTGAAAATTCGGAAGAAAGTGTTTAACGTATCGTTTATAGCTTGTGACAGCTTTTATCGTATCTAACAGTTACCGTATCTTTATTCAACTGAAATCAGCGGCCAGCAAATCTATTGGCGCTTCGAGATATCTAAATATACTGCCTCTTATGGCGGAGCTTAACGAAACGAACGAAGGTTCGTTGAAATGGAACGTCGAGTTGCGCGGGTATCGAACATCCTTATCAAATACCATAAATTACAACGTCCATCTGTTGTGTAGGAATAACGTACAATTGGCCGTTATACAACTCGGTTGATAATTATGAAATAATGCTCCTGTACACTGGTAGTTTACACGGATCAGGACGGTATGCAATTTAACAACGCACAGCGTACCGCTACCTACCTGTGCGTGCACTCCAGGGAAGAAATTTTTCCAGCAAACGCTAATCAGACGCTCGCTCTATCAATTACGCGCGTTATTTAGCTGGTTTCGAATGAAACGGTAGGTTAAAGCGACCGGTTGAAAGGCAAAATGCACATGGTATTTGGCCTGATTGTTACC